AAGTAAAATTTTCAACACCAAAAGTACTAGAGAACATGACCCCAAGATTTAAGCACTCAGTCTTGGAGTCCTGACACTCACCTACTCAGGAGCAGCCACCATTTGGGAGGTGCCTAATGCTCCATAGCTCTGGCAGGTGGATCACAGTTTAGAACTCAGCAAAGGCCTCTGTTCTAATAAAATGCAAGTTGCCTGGTTAAAGCCTTAGGGAGTCCTGAGTCCAAGGCTCTGGAAATACCAATAGGAATATGTTTAGGAGAATACAGATGACCAAATACCTTCTGCATTTATTACCTCCATGCAAATTATTTTCAAGTCTCAAGATATTTGATCCCTAAAGAAACTGTACCGGTTGACTCACGTAATGCTAAATTCAGGATGTGACTATTTTGAAAGCGAGATCTACTTTATAATAGTGTTAAAAATGATAGCATATGTAAAGTACTAGTCTCATACCCAGAATGCATCCAGTCCTGCTAATCTATACTTTAATAATAACCAATGTGTCAAGAAAAACTAGTAATTACATAGGAGACAGAATGTTATAGAAATGTCTTTCCCAAAAAGACACTTTCCAAAGGAGATGGCTTGATTGAACTCTTTCATTCTTGAATCTTTCTAGCTATATGATTTGGAACAAGTTACATGAATTTTCTGAGCTTCAGTTTAATCATTTATAGAAGTGGGATAATAATGTCTCTCTTACAGGTTTATTTATACAGTTTAATTTATACAAGGAATACAAAGCACCAGATATATTAAATAAGTGTTACTACCTTCTTTTCTTTCTGCTTCAGTGAACAATCTTTCTTTCTGGTATAATTGGTAGTACTGAAAAAGTTATTTAAAAAAAGTAAAGAGAGAGTGATGTCAGCATCATGGCAGAGTGAGTTGTTTCTTTAGTCTCTCCCCTCTAAATTACAACTAAATGGGTATTCATTAACCAGAAGAGGATTCTTCACAGTACAACAGTACTTCTGAGAGATGCACACAGCTATACATCTGAGGGCAGGTGGACTGGATACCCAGAAGGCAGTGGAAGAAGGTGAACACACACCTCCCCCTTCCCTGGCAGCAGTGTGCCAGATTGTGGATCCTCACATAGTGGCTGGCATGACTGTAAGAAGAGACAGGGACAGCCTGGCCTGCACAAATGCTTTCAGTGTTGTAGCCTAGCAAGTGGGAGCACCCACTGTGCTGCAGTGGCCCCACCATTGGGAATTCTCTAAACTGAGTGGTGGCAGCTCAGCCCCTCTGAAGGCACCTGCCCACTGAGCACAGCACAGATGAGAAGGCGCCCCACCCACTCATAAGGTGCCCTTGCCCACAGAGCACACCACCTTGTGTGGTCCACTGAGTGGTGGTTCAGCCCCCACATGGATGCCCCTTTCCCTTAGCACAGTGCAGGCCAGAAGGCACCCTGCCCACTCAGAAAGTGCCCCTGCCCATTGAACATATCATCCCATGGGATCCACTGAGTGGTGGCTCAACCCCAACATGGGCATGCCTCCCCTCTACCACAGCACAGGGCAGAAGTTTCCCTGCCCACTCAGGAGGTGCCCCACCCATGGAGGACAGCAAACCACAGGACCCACCAAGTGGTGGCTCAGCCTCTGCATAAGCACCACAGCTGCCTTGCACATAGCAGCTCAGCTGGCCCCACGCAGAGCACAGAGACCCCACCTACAAAGCCTGACCTGCCCACCCAGTGCAGAGGACCTGCCCATGTGAGTGCAACCTGCAGAGTTGCTGCAGCAGGCCCATGCAAATGCAAAGTATCCTTACCTGCACAACTTCCAGCAAATGAGGTGGGATCAGAAAACACATCTCCTGCTCCCTTCCACTAGTGGCAAGTGGTTTCTGTGACCTGCTACTACTACAAATGCTCTGGCAAAAGATCAACTCATCAAACATGATGAAAAACTGCAGTAACACTGCAGAGAAGAAGGAAAATGACGTCTCCATAAACCAATCCTGAAGTCACAGAAATTTACAATCTAAATCACAGAAAATTCAAAATAGTTTTGATAAAGAAACTCAACGAGTTGGAAGAAAACTCAAAGGGACAGTTCAATAAGCTCAGGAATAAAACTAATGAGCAGAAGGAATACTTCACCAAAGAGATTGAAACTCTAAGAAAAAAATCAAACAGAAATTCTAGAGATGAGGAAAACAATTACTGAGATAAAAAATAATCTAGGAACCATAAAAAAAATAAAGCTCATGTTACGGAGGAAAGAATTAGTGAAAAACAAGACAGAAATATAGAAATGTTACAGGTGGAGGAGGAGAGAGCACCAAGATTAAAAAAAAAAAAAAAGCTGAAGAAATTCTTTCAGAAATATCTGACAATATTAGGAAAAGTAGTATAAGGATTATAGGTATTCCAGACGGAGAAGGGAGGGAGAAATGAGCACAGAGCTTGTTCAAAGACATAATAGCTGAGAATTTCCAAAACCAGGGGAAGAAAATGTGCTTACAAGTACATGAAGCCAATAGAACTCCTAATTACATCAATGCAAAAAGACCTTCTCCAAGGTGTATAACATTGTTGGCAAAAGTTAATGACAAATACAAAATATTTAGGGCAGCAAGGCACAAGAAATTAACCTACAAAGGAAATCCTATCAGGCTTTCAGCAGATTTCTCAGCAAAAGCCTTACAGGCTAGGAAAGAATGGAACAATAAATTCAAAATACTGAAAGACAAAAACATTCAGCCAAGAATACTCTCTTCAGTGAAACAATCCTTCAGATATGATGGAGAAATAAAAGCTTTCCCAGATAAACAAAGGCTGAAGGAGTTCATTGCCACTAGACCTCCATTACAAGAAATGATGAACAAAGCCCTCCTACCTGAAACAAAAAGGCAAAGTTTTACAAACCTTTGAGCAAAGAGACAAATAGACAAAATCAGAAATCTGCAGCTCTATCAGAATAGGTTAGCAAACACTTTATAATATAAAAGATAAAATGAAAGAAAGCATCAAAAATAGGTATAAATACTTCAATTTAGTCACAAATTCACAACACAAAAAAAGAAGAATTTGTGACGATAAATGAGAAGAGGAAGAGGAAAAGTATGGAAGCTGCTTAGGCTAAGGAAATAAGGGGCTATCAGAAAATGGACTATACCACTTACGAGATCCCTTATACAAACCTCATGGTAACCAGTAAACCAATAATTAGAAGAGAGTCACAAATCATAAATAAAGAGAAAACCACTACAGATAATGACTAAATTGAAAGGACAGTCAGAAATACAAGGGAGGAGAAACAATGGAATTATAGAACAACTGGAAAACAAGAGATAAAATAACAGTATTAAGCCCTCATATATCAATAGTCACTCTAAATGGAAATGGATTGAATTCTCTAATCAAAGGACACAGAGTGGCTGGATGGATTAAAAAACAAGACCCAACAATATGCTGCCTCCAGGAAACACATCTCAGCTCTAAAGACAAACATAGGCTCAGAGTGAAGGGATGGAAGCCTATACTCCAAGCAAATAGTCAGCAAAAGAAAGCAGGCATTGCCATACTTATATCAGACAAAGCAAACTTCAACATAAAAAACACAAGAGACAAAGAGTGTCAGTATTTAATAAAAATAAGCATATTCCACCAAGAGGAAATAACACTTATAAATATATATGCACCTAACACAGGAACACCAAAGTATATAAAGCAACTACTAACAGATCTAGAAGGAGAAAGTGACAGCATCACAATAATAGAAGGGGACCTCAATACTGCACTTACATCAATGGATAGACCATCCACACAGAAAGTCAACAAGGAAACAGTGGCCTTAAATGAAACACTAGACCAGCTAGACTTAATAAATATATATAGAACATTCTAACCCAAAACAGCAGAATACACATTCTTCTCGGGAGAACATGGAACATTCTCAAAGATAGACCACAGGTGGAGAAATAAGGCAAGCCTCAATAATTTTAAGTAGATTGAAATAATATCAAGCATCTTTTCTGACCACAATTCTATGAAACCAGAAATCAACTACAATAAAAAAGCA